GGCTACCGAATGTAACCTGCCCACACAGCAGAGTCTGGCAAACTCCCCGTGGTGTACCCAATATGCCAAATACCAGTAACAATGATGGGTCTCATTCTCCTAAGCCTGAAAGAGCCTTGAATATGGCACTTTTTAAAAATCTCAGGGCTAGGACGAAGGAGACATTACTGGGGCCTGCTTGAGGCAATCGATGAACAACAGGATGGTCGTGATCGTGATCGCTCGAGCAAATCAATGAGTAACAGAGTGTCCAGTGATCAAGTCTTTCCTGATAAAGCTGTGCTGCCTGGCTATTGACTGGACTGTTTGGATTCAGTTCATCCAGCCAAGACTGAATTGATGTTAGGATAGAAGATACATCATATGTCAGACTCGATTGATTCTGAAGTATATCTAAACATATGCTACCATCAGCACATTTGGATGAAACATTCTGGATAAAAGCCTAAGAATTGGTGGTTTATTTGGATATTCTTCAGAAAATTCTATTACTAGTTTAAAAGTACCATCTTCAAAGGGTGTCCCTTCTGGTCCAAATATAACCGCATTCCACTGCATGATGTTGTTTTCAGATGGTACGCCCCTAACAACCACATGTGGGTCCTCTTGCAATCACTTAAAATCCCGCATGAGCCTCCTCCAGGCTGGGGTCGACATGCTCCTCCCCAAAATACAAACTTTTTTAAAATTTATTGAATCACCATGAGAACAGTCGCAAAGCCTTTCAGTTCAAGTCTCAGTCAGTCATACAATGATCAAACTCCCGTCCCTTCACCAGTGCACATTTTCCACCACCAAGAGCCCCAGTATACCCCCCCTCCCACCTACCTCCCACCTGTGTGGCAGATTTCCACTTTACTCTCTCTCTCTGTCTACGTTAATCACATTCAATATTACGACAAAAGACTCAACATTGTTATTTGGAATTTTCCCCAATATTCAGACCTGCCACAAAGATATCATTAGAAAATTTGTTTTCTATTGCTGATTATGAAGAGCATATGATGTCATGTGGCCACAATAGCGGCCATGCGAATTTGGATTTCTGATATTTTAGTAATAAACCTAGAGGGATTATTGCCAGAGCCCCTGAGTTCCGAGATTGGTATGTGTGCCTCTGGGATCATGGTTGGTCAGAAGCCAGAGGAGTGTTTGAAGGTGGAAACCCGGAGCATTGTCATGGCGGGGAGCAGGGCAAAATAAAATTTTTAAAAATACATGTAAGACTGTAGATTTAAATCTTATTACATGGTAGCTACATAAGAAAAGACCTACACACTCCAATTATTATTGCTTTTTAAGAGAGTCTAATTTTAGTTTTTTGTTTGGGGCTACACTCAGCAGTACTCAGGGGTTACTCCTGGCTTTGCACTCAGGAATCACTCCTAGTGGTGCTCAGGGGACCTTATGAGATACTGGGGAATCAAACACGGGTCAGCTGCTTGCAAGGCAAGTGCCCTTCCCACTGTATTATCACTCTTCCCTACACGCTCCAATTAAAGGGCACATTTGACTGGCTTTGAAAAGGCAAGAAATCAACTCTATGCTATCTATCTAATCTCATGTTGAGAACAAAGACACCAGGGTAGACTCAGAGGCAAAATGCTGCCTTCCAGTTATTAAACCAGCAGTTCAACCCCTGTGTTCAGTTGGCCCCACAGGGTTCAGGATGGCCCCACATAACTGAGCATACCTCCAGTCTTTTTCTTCCCACTTTATTTAAACACTGTAGTTTACAAAATTGTTCATGGTGTTTTGTTACAGGCATTCAATATTCCAACTCCCATCCCACCATCACTGGTGTGATTCCAGTCTAGTCCTGATAACCATTCTAGAATCAATAGCATACATACAATGAATGGCCCTCTTCTTTCTCTTTCAAATGTACATCATCCTACCTCAAATAACTGAAATTAGAAAAGTTTTGACTTCTTCTGAAGTTAAGTAGGACTGATTGAGAGGGGAATAATAGAAAACTGTGAATTCCACCCTAACCAACCACTGAGGAGTGGGGAGAGGGACACTGAGGTAGAATTCAGAAGAAATAGAACTGGTGATGGATGTAATGAGACCAATCTTTTTATTTACTTATTTTATTTACTTATTTATTTTAAATTTATTGAATCATTGTGAGAACAGTTACAAAGCATTCAGGTTTAAGTCTCAGTCATACAATGATCAAACACCCATCCCTTCATCAGTGCATATTTTCCACCATCAAGAACCCAAATATATCCCCATCCTACCCCTCCCCATGCCTGTGAGGCAGGTGATTTTCACTTAACTCTCTCTCTGCTTTGACTACATTATTTTGACAAAAGATGCACCATTATTATTTGGAATTTTTCCCCAACAATCAAACCTGCTGAAAAGGCATCATGAAATAATTTGTTTTCTATTGCTGGTTATGAAGACCATATGATTTCACAATGATTTTTGGATTTCTGATACTTTACTAATTAAGTCTGGAGGGATTTCTGCCAAAACCCCCATAGTTCTGAGATTGGTTTCTATGCCTCTGGGTCCATGACCATGCCGGAGAGCTGCTTGTGGGGGTGCAGTTCGTGGTCTCAGCAGGGCAGGAAGGACATACCAGTTCCGCCCCCCCATCCCATGAGGCTGCAGTTGCCCGGCACTACCAGCTCATACCTGGCTGTCCAATAAGCTCTGAGGCGGTAGCCACTGTGCCACAGGGGCAGGATAGGCGGAAGAGACAGTCACTCTTGGGGGAGGGAGGGAGTCACGCCACTGCAACTTAATGCATAGTCCATTCACATTTCTGCCGAAAGCTGCTGGGTTCCAAATTAGGTCCGTGTGCCTCTGGGGCCATGGCCATGCTAGAGAGCCACCCGTGGGGGGCAACTCGTGGTCTCGGCCGACCGGGACGGACGTGTTTTGAATCTTTTTTTTAATTCATTTGTTTTTATTTGTAGATATCATGAAATTTATTGATGATTGTGCCAAGCACCATACAAGTGAAAAACCTTTCTCCAAGACTTCTGAAAGTAATAAAAACAATCAGGGTTGAAAATCCTTGCCACCTGGTGTGGATGACTAGAAGTTAAAATAATTACTTTAAATTCCCCAGAATGGAGGAGGAAGAGTTTTAAGGATTGAGTGTTTTCCTGAAAAAAAAAAAAATCAGTTGAGGCTGTCAAATTTTAAGCGCAGTAACCGTAAATCTTTCCCACTTACAAAAAATAGGTCATAGAGTGAATATTTGCCATATTTGATATGGTCAAATCACCTAACCATAGTTTAATGTTAAACTTAAGTTTCTGTGACTTAAAAGGGCATTTGTAATCTGTGGGTAAAACATTTATGTGAGATGTTTGCTGGCCCCAGGTGAACCTTTCTGGAACCCTGCATATTCAAATACTTGCTTGGGCAAAGGCGCACAATTGTTTGGGGCAAACTTCAATCCACTGGAATCAGAGATCTGAAAAAATAGTGGTCGTCGGATGTTTAGGTCAGAAATGGTTGCTGGTGGTGGAGGATGGCCCAGAATGTCTGGGGGGAATTTGTACTTTTGTGAGCCGGGATGGACCCCAGGCCTTTACCCACGCCAGGCATGTGCCACTGAGCCACATCTCACGCTGTTGCAGATTTTAAAGAAACATTTCCTGCCAGCCAGAACTTTATGCTTTATTTTAGTTGGGGGCCTCCAAAAGTGCGCAGGTGGCCCAGGTGACCTTCTTGGTGTTTCTTCACCAACTGGGCCAGTGGTTCGATGCATGGAGTTTGCAGTGCTGCTCAGGCCCCTGAGTGCCGGAATTACCAGAGCACCCCTGCAGTGCTTGGGTGTCTCAAGGTCTGCACCCAGTGATGCTGGGATAGATCCGAGTTATTCCCGGTCTTCTTTCCCTACCAATCTTGCCAGTATCTCTTGCAGTATGTTGCTTCCCCGTTCCAAGGTTTGGTGTTGTTTTTCACCAGGCGTTAGAAATGGACAGCTTTTATGCTGCTGTCTCAGATTGTAGAAATCACAGCGTAAAGATCTGAAATCTCGCCAATGATTTCCCTGGAGAAACGGTTTCCCTCCGGAACACGGGGAAATTTTTGCCGCCTTCGTGAACGCTGCCTGGGATAGAGCCGGCGCCCCGCTCCGGCCCCCCAAAAGTTGGGCTCCTCGCTGGTCCTCCCTTTCCCGTTACTTAGCAACGTCAGCGGTCACTAGGGCCTGTAAGTGTGGACAACGCCCCGGGGATTTTTGACACGTTTTAGGCAGTATTAGGCATCTCCCCACTCACTGCCCTCTTGGGGGCAGGGAAATCTTCTGTATTCTCAGGAGACAGATAGGTAGGTGGACGGGAATTGGCCGCGCCCGGCCTGCCTCGCCCCTGCAACAAGAACGTTCTGGTCCCCAGAAGGACCAGGATGCGGGAGACTCAAGCCCCAGAACCCCGCGAGGGCAGTGACCGCAGGACCCTCCCCCTCGCCCTTCCCCGCAGCGCCCAGGAGACGCGCGCTCCAGACCCACCAAGTGCGCGGCCGGGCGCGGGGCGCGGAGCGGGCGGGTGAGGGAGGGGGCCGGGGGTGCGGGAAGCCAGCGGAGCCCCGTGCGGGAGCCCCGGTGACGCACCAGTGACGTAGGCGGCGGCGGGCGGGATTTCCCGGCCCCTCCCGGGCGCCAGACGAGACCCCGCCGCGGAGTGGGCGCGACCAACCTGGAGCGAAGGAGGCGGGGGTCTCGGGGGTCCCTCGCTGCATCTCCCGCCGGACCCCGACCCGCTCCGGGAGCTCAGCCCCGGGCTTCTGGCACAGCCGGGAGCGAGCTGAGCACTTCGCGTCGCGGGGACTTCACTCTTCGGGGTGCCCCGGGCGCGGCCCGTGCGCCTCCGCCCACCCCCCGCCTGGCGTTGTCTTTCCCGGGACGGGGCGGGGAGGCGCGGGCCGGGGCGGGGCCGGTGACGCGGCCCGGAGACCCCGGGGCAGCGCCGGGCGTCCGCCAGCCCGCCCCGAGCCCGCCCCCACGCCGGACCCCGAGCCCGGCGCGACCCCCCCCCCCCCGCCACCTCCCGCCTGGGCCCCGCGTCCCGCGTGCGGGGCGATGCCGCGCGCTCTGGCTGTCCCCCGCGCGGGCGGCGCCGGAGACAAAGCCCGCGCGTGAGCGGCGCCCTCGGCCCGTGCGCCCCCTCCGGGTAAGTGGCAGCCCCGCCCGGCGCTCCGGGAGGGGGTGTGTGTGTGTGCGTGTTGGGGGGCGGAGGGAGCGACGGCTCCGCTCGGGCTCCCGGAACTCGGGGCGAGCCCGCATCCAGAGGGAGAAACTCGGCGGGGAAAAGTCTCTGCAGCTGGACACGGATCCGCTGCGAGCTCCGTCCTGCCGCCGGCAAGTGGGGACGCGCGTCGCCAAGACCCGCGATTTTCGGGGTCGCTCGCCGCGAGCCCCGCCTTCGTCTGCCTGCACAGGTGGGTGTCGGCTGCCTCGTCGGACCCGGGCCCACCCCCCACCCCGGCGGTTGGAGGAGACCCGCGCGCGAAGGTTTGGGCACCGCGCTCGGAGAGCTCAGGGCTCGCTCGGGGTCCGAGTCCCCACCCCCCCGGGCTCTCCCGGGGGCCCCGTTTCCATCTGTGAGTCGCCACGCGTTGGCTCTTCCCCGGGGCAGAGACGCCCCCCGCGGACGAGGGCCGCGTTGGAAGGGGCAGAGCGTGGGGCATTTGGGAGAGAGGGATGCTTGCGGGGGGAGCGAGAGGGGGGATTCCCTGCACCCTGGCTCCTGCTTCGGCGCGTTTCGGCTGGGCCGGTCGCCGACGTGGCGAGGGTGGCTTATGGCGTCTGTTGGAGACGCTGGTGCTGAAACGGACAGCGCTGCGCTCGCGCCCCGCTGCACCTACTTGGCGCTTGGCTTAACATTGCCCATCGCCCCCTCCCGCCCCCCCCCCCGAGAAATATTCTAAGGATCGGTGGTCAGAAAGGAATTCTTAATTTTTAAGGGTAAGGATTTTAACCTCACCCCCATCCTCTAGACTTTTTGGGCTAGGGTGTTAAGAAATCTCAAAATGCCGAAGTTCCATCAAGTGATAAAGTGGCAGACCTGGGGGACCCTGCCCAGTCCCCGCGCTGCTGCCGCAGGTTCATTTCTGTTGCTTCCTGGGACTGTAAAAGGCTGGCGCGGGCCCGGTTTCGCTGAAAGCAAAAGGCCTCCTGGGCCGCGGTGTAGTCCCCGTTGGAACGTGTCGGCTCCCTCAACTCTTCTGGAATCGAAATTGCGGAGGATTCCTTTCCGAAAAGGGAGGCAGGAAAATTCAGTGGCAAGATTTTGCCAAGCGGGGGACCTGGGCACAGCGAGGTGGTGGTCTCTGGATTCGCTGGAGAGATCGTTTCCTGTTTGCACGCCAGGGGGAGTGGGGAATGCCACCCCCACAGTGCCGTCTGGGAGGTGGGGGGACTCCGCTCTCCAGAAGCTTCTGTGGAACGGCAGAGGTGAGACATGGGAATGGCTAGAGTCATGTTCCTCGGTCAGGCCTGAGAAACGAGACCCTGTTCATGTAAACGCTGGGCTAATTTTGAGTGTGTTGTTGGTCCAGTGACCATCAAGACCTGGTAAAAGAGGGATGTGGCACTTAATTAGTACTGGGTGTACATGTAAATGCAAGGCTTATTATGATGGTTTTCGAGTTAATGAGTAGCTTCCCTGGAAGGTTTATTAGGCTGAAATGACTATTTAGGACAATAGACTTCCTGTTTGCCTGTCCACCCACACAGGCTCCAGTCTTCAGCCTCTTTTAAAATACAGTTGGGCAAAGGGAGCAGGTGAAAGATGGCTGGTCAGCTGAGAAATAGCCTGGCCACGGAGCCTCATGACTGACTTGGGCAAATGCCTGTAACATTTCTCATGGAGGTGGGTAAGCTGGCAGAAAGCTTTCCCCACACTCATTTTACAGTTTTCAAAGCCCCTGCAGAGCCTCCTCCTCCCCCCCCCCCCCCACCATGTCCGGATATTCTTTGAAATGTCGGGAGAAAGGTGGGATCAGCTGGTCCCTAGGGAACAGGTACCCTGTGGCTCTTTCAGCAGGATTGGGTGGGGCTCTCAGAGTGATCTTTGTACTGGCGCCTTCCTTACAGGAGGCCAAAGAGCAGCCAGCTCCCCACACAGCTCCTGCTTCCTGAGGAAGGAAGCCAAATGGCAGGGAAAGACTGGAGTCTACAAAACAAATCCTTTCATTTACTTAAAGCCCTGTCTCACTATTGCATCTTTCTTCGCTTGTTTCATTTTTTTTTTTGTTCCACTGAAGGGGAAAATATCTAAGACTATCTCATTGTGTTTCAGTTGATTGCCCTTTATCTATGGAATTTTGAAGCCCTGTCTTAAGATATCGCTTTGTTGATCTTGTATATATTATTGGCTTAAGAGTGTATATTATCATTTAATCTTTCTGATACTCTTTTTATTTTTATTTACTCTAGACATTTTCAGACTTAAAGAGACTTACTATTCAGACAGATAAATTATTTGTTCAGTGTTCTTAAACCAGAAATCAGAATTTGAATTTTTTCAAAATACACCAAAAACACCAGCAGAAATAAGCTCTTGTGATTAGACAGATATCTAATAAGTAAGACACCTTGCACACAACCAACCTGGTTTTGGCCCCCAGCACCCTGTATGCTCTGAACTGTTGCCATCAAAGTATTTTAACTGAAAATCATAGAAACTAAAGATTGTTAGAAAATGTAAACAAGTACATTAATTAAAACCTAAAAATTAGCATACTACTACTGAAAGGTTTTAACTGGCTTGTTAAAACCACATCAGAATAAATCATCAGAGGTGAAAACAAATGCAAATGGGATTTCCATTTATGGAAAGAAGCAGAGGCAAGAAGTACTGCTAAGTGAAAAAAAATACTGCAGAGAAAACAAAGAATGCTTTAAAAAGAGATCAATTCGATGAGCTAGCTGGAGCATTCCAAATCATTTTATTGTTGGATAACTTGTTAGGTCAAATGGTAGCTGGTATGAAATTAGTGCCAAGTGGAAGAGACAAATGGCAGGTCTTGCAAAATGGGGAGGGCGGTGCAGGTGTGCTGAGGATGCAGCGCTGGCTGAGGGCATCCAGGGAGAAGTTGTGCGGGCTAGGGGTTGGCTGTGGAGAATTGCTCGATCTGTGATCCTGAGGTTCCTCAGTATCTGCAAGCATGTCGCCAGTGACTCAACCTTAGTAGGCCCAGACAAGGAGACCAGCCCAGGCCAGCCTAGGCTCAGGCTGGGCGAATCATGCCTGTGATTGCTTCCAGTTCTGACACCGGATCCACAAGAATTCTGTTTAGAAAAAGAAAAAAAAAATTCTTGATCTCCTGCATCTGTGCTATCCAGGGGATATTGTCAGGATTTTGTGGGAGTGATGGTGACACTTTGGGGGTTATTTGTTATTGTTGTTTTTGGTTTTGGGGTCACAGCTGGCATCATGGCTTACTCCTGCCTTTTTGCTCGGGGAACACTTCTGGTGTAGGGGGTGGTAAATGTGCAGGTAGTAGGTGGGGTGCTGGGTGTCAAACCCAGGTTGACTCCTCCTGTCCTGATGGTGACTTTCTTAGCTGACCAAAGAAAACGCACATACAAATGGTGGCAGTGAGGGCTGGAGAAATAGTACAGCTGGTGGGGTACTTGCCTTGCATGCAGCCAACCAGGGTTCGATCCTTAGCATCCCATATGATCCTCCTGAGCACTGGCCGGAGTAATTCCTTATTACATAGCTCAAAGTAAGCCCTGAGCATCGCTGAGTATGGCCCCAGGCCAAAAAAAAAAAACCACCAAAAAAAAATTGCGACTGTGAGATGTGCGGCAGAACTGAACGGCCAGGTACTGTGCATACGTTCCTTCCCCAGGGAGTGGCTTCACTTAAATTCCTCTCACCATCTAACCTTGGGCCACACCCGCTTCTCTGGTGTGATACGTGCTGTGAGGCTGAGGGAGATGATTGAGATAGGAAGAAGCACTTTTCACGGCCCCCTAGGGCCCTAGTGACCGCTGTGCCCACAAGGAGCAAATGTCCAGCCCCGACAAGCAGCCCCATCTTCTCCAGCTCCACCTCTCTGCTCTGCTCCTGTCTCTGTGCTCCTCGCCTCTGTGCTCCTCAAGCACTCACATCAGTTTCCCAGCTGCAGACTCTCTCTCCCCTTCCCTGGCCCCTCACTAAGGGAAGAGTAGCAGAAACATAGCAGTAGAAAGAAGGGAAACATTGACTCATTTTCCAAAAATTTAATGTTTGATTTTTTCCCCTTCTGCTGGGGGAGGTGGGTGGGCCACATCTGGAGATCATTCCTAGTGGAGCTTCAGGGGACCCTGTGCAGTGCTGGGGGTCAGACCCAGGTCGGTTGCATGCAAGGCAACCGCCTTACCCACCGGACTATCTCCGTGGCCCTGTTTTTAATTCCATTTCTGTAGAGCCCACACCAAGTGGGGATGGTCATGCAGTGCTGGTGACTCAACTCAGGGCCTGGAATTGAGTCAGCCCTCCTCCCCTTTTAAATTGTTTCGGTGTTTTAATTTTTTACAAACTTTCACAATTACAGAAAAAGGAGTTACCATGAAAAATACACTCACTGCTCTGGGTACCACGGCCACAGATCAGCTGTGCTCACTTCCTTCCTTGTTTTACCAATAAATGCAGAAAGTGGGGAGATGGTGGACAAGTGTGAAGATTGTCGTAGTGATACAGGTGAGGCAGAAGTGGTGGCGGCAGGTCTTGTTTGGTCATGAGTCCCGGGTTCTTCAATATTTTCAAGAACGAAAATAGTGAATAATATAGATGCTCAGACTCAGAGTTGGAAAGTAGAAGAGTAAAGAAATGGAATTCTGCAAGGTGGAGAGGAACTTAGGATAGGACTAAGTTAAAAGGAAGGGTTTGTGTAGGCCCTTTTTAAAGGCCCTTTGCATTTCTTATCAATTGACAGGTATTACAGAGAATGCAGGGAATCTACAGGGTGGTCTGGCTGGATTGTCTTTCTGGCGATCTGCATCAGGTATTGTTCATTATCTTAGTCTTGTGACTCCTAGTTCTGGGACAGAACAATAATATAGTCCTGGGGAAAGCCAAATAATATGGTCCTGGGGAACTCCAGGGATGTTAAAGATAGGGCCTTGGGAATGAGGTGTGGTAGGTCGATGGGGAGAAATGGAACTGCTGGCGAGGGGAAA